GAAGGCTGAGGTGGAAGGATCACCTGAGCCTGAGGCTGCAGTGGCCGTAAGCATGCCACTGCACTCCAGCCTGAGTGACAGAGGAGACTCCAACGCAAAAAAAAAAAAAAGAATCTCATGGGACCGCGGTCATAGCGCAGTTGCTACACAGTGTGTGACTGTATCCTACTGCGCTCCAGACACTGCCTCCTCAGTCTTCACACAGCCTGTGAGACCAGTGCCCTCCTATTAAGAGGTGAAATGTTTTACCTGAGGATACAGCCTTAGTGACAGAGCCAGCATCTGCACCTAGAACCTGAACTCTGCCTGGGGCATCCCTTTGCCAGAGGACAGAGGGAAGGAGCAGAGGAGTAACTGGACAGAATGAGGTTCACATCCTAGCTCCCCAGATGCCTTCATGTGTTACGTGATCTTGAGAAAGCTCCTTTACCTTGCTGTTCTCATCTGTACAATGGGTAGAACTGAACGATGCCTCATAAGGCTCAGATGAGAGGAGGTGTGTGAGATGCCTAGCACAGTGCTGGACACATAGCAATGCTTGGCCAGTGTTTGGGACTTGGGTGAACAGACGCTGGCCTGCCTGGGCTCTTCACGCCTCGCCTCTGCTGTGTTGCCTGCTTCAGGTGCCGCCACGCTGCCATTGCCAAATACTTCGGGGATGCACCACCTGCCTGCACCAGAGGCTGCGACCACTGCCACAACCCTACGGCTGTGCGGAGGCAGCTGGACGCCTTCGAGCACAGCAGCAGTTGGAGCAAGACCTGCATCAGGCCTTCCCAGGGGAGCGACTTCGACCCCGAGCTGTACGAGGGAGGCCGCAGGGGCTACGGGGGCTTTAGCAGGTGAGGGGCCATGAAACCAGGAATTCCCAACCCATTGGAAATAGTCTGTCGTTCCCCTGGTGCTAAGGCCAGGCCAGAGGTGGCACATGGCTGTAGTCCACTCTCCTGCCCTGTGGACCGTGCTGGGTCCGGGACCTCGATCTTGCTCTGAGCTGCTAGAGACTCAGGGGCACAGCGGCCCCACCGGCAGCATGCGTGGGGAGGGCAAAGCCCAGGCCTGGGCTGCTGCTGCCTGGTCTGTCCCCTAGGTGTGACGAAGGCTCTGGAGGCAGCGGGGATGAGGGCAGAGACGAAGCCCACAAGCGGGAGTGGAAGCTCTTCTATCAGCAGCAGATGAGGCTGCGCAAGGTGAGGGGCGCTTGGCCGGGGCTCAGTGGCCTGTGTAGGGTCTCTGGGGGTCCCCCTGCTCGCACCCTCTCGGCCCCTTCATGGCACTGGACATCCTGCAGCCGACAGGATGCCTTATAGGCCCTTCATGTTGCCTTCCAGGGCAGAGACCCCAAGGCAGAAGAATTTGTACCCCCAGGTCAGTACAGAAATGCTCCTGGGGGCTCGTGGGCTATTCCTAGGGCATGGATGGAGGGTTCTTGCTAGGGAAGTGGGGGACTCCAGAGAGCAGCAGGTTGAGTGGAAGGACCACTCTCCCTCCCCCCAGATGAGGACTGTCCCCTGAAGGAGGCTTCTAGCAGGAGGATCCCCAGGCTCACCGTGAAGGTAAGCGGCAAGCAGCTCCTCACGCGCCCCTCAGGACCCCCCCCACAACCCTGAGGTTGTGTGACCAACCTCCCTCTTCTGTGCCAGGCCCGTGAGCACTGCCTGGGGCTTCTGGAGGAGGCTCTGAGCAGTAACCACCAGGCCACATGTGCCACTGACGGGTAAGTGTCCGAGATCACTGGGCTGGGGGTGAGGGTGAGGGCTGAGGAGGGCTCTCCAAACTCTTGTTCCTTTGGAGGCTGCAGGGACCCCACCCCTCAGGCTTGTTGGGCAGCTTCTCTCCAGATTGTGACCCACCTTACCCCAGAGAGCCAGAGAACAGCCCCACCGGGGACAGGCATGGACACAACTTAATTGTTGCTGGACTGCTGAAGGACATTAAGCCACAGGGTGTTCAGAGAGTCCTGGTCATAATTCCTGTGCCTAAGACCATTCCCACTAGGCTCTGAAGCCATCCTGAGTGCCTGGGAGAGTCCAATAGGAACTCTGTCCAGCAGGCCCACCTGATACCTTGTGCCCGTTCCTACCCGCAGAGCTGACCTCCAGGCCAGTGCCGTGGAACTGGAGCATGAGACGTTCCGCAGCGCTAAGGTGGCCAACCTGTACAAGGCCAGCGTGCTGAAGAAGGTGGGCCTGGCGCAAGGTGGGCAGGCAGGGCCAGGCACGCACAGGGGCTCAGCGTAGGGGGCAGCCTCACCACGCTCTGAGGCTGTCTGCAGGCGCTTGGGCTCCAGGCAGTATAGACTGTCCCTGCTCCCTGCCCCTACCCCAAGAGGCCACTTCTAGGGATGGAGCCCCACTCCTCTCCACCAGCTGGGGGTGTTCCTAGCCTACCCCGTGAGGGCTAGAACTTGCCCAGTTGCTACTTCTTGTGCCTGGAGGCAAAGGAGGCCTGGGGTGGGGACTGTCAGGGGGAGCTCAAGAGCGCCATGGCCTCCCTACCTATCCCTGCCTAGGTGGCTGAGATCCACAGAGCCACCAAGGATGGGCAACCCTTCGACATGAGAGGTAGTGCCAAGAGCTGCAGTACCCAGGCAGAGCCCCCTGAGCCCAACGAGTATGACATCCCACCAGCCTCCCACGTGTACTCGGTAAGTGGCATCCTGGCATCCACCCCACACCTGGGCCCTGGAAATACTCCAGTTTCCGCCTGCACTCGTGGTGTGGAGGGCACATCTCTTGCCGTCTCCTGGCATCAGGGCCCTGGCCCTCTCTTCTCTCCTCTGCTACCTGTACCTTTGCAGGTCCCAGCCTCTTCTCCTGTCAGCCCAGCGGTATCAGTACTAACCTCTTCCCTCCCACACTCCCGAGAGCCCCAACCTGATGTGACCATGATTGGACCAGCCAGGGGTACCCTCGAGGGGTCCTGGTGACCTGAGCATTCTCCTCTTCTCCTCACAGCTGAAACCCAAGCGAGTGGGAGCTGGTTTCCCTAAAGGCTCCCGCCTGTTCCAGACAGCCACAGAGCTAATGGAGACAACTCTGCTCAAGCCGTGCACCCTCCAGCCTGTGCAGGGGGATAAGCAGGAGCTCCCCGGCCAGCCCTGTGGCCTCCAGGATGAGGACAGGAGTGAGGCCCTCCCTGGGCCCAGAGAGGAGACCCCCGGAGGCAGTGCTCACTGTGGGGGGCTCTCCCCTGAGAAGGCAAAAGGCTTCTCTGGGGGCAATTCCCTTGCCAAGGCCCGGGCTGGCAAGAAACAGCAGCTCCTAGCCGCAGCAGCCCACAAGGATTCTCAGAACATCACCCGCTTCTTCTGCCAGAGGGTAGGAAACCCACCTTCACTCGCTTCAGCCCCAAGGACAGAAGGTGCCAGCCCTTCCTGTGGAGGGGTTCAGGGACCCCTTGTGGCCCCAGAGAAGTACACAGATGATGATGGAGCCCAGGGACGTTTGCCTGCCTCTCAGACTGAGCAGTGCTCTGGGGAGGGGCCAAGGTAAGGACACAGGTGGTCATGGTGTCTTCTGGAACCATGTGGCAACAACTTCTTTGCTAACTTTTCTAACTCTGTGCCCTAAGTTGGGCTCTGCTGGGCCAGGGAGCAGCTGGTACTAGAGCTCTGATGCCTGCCCTTCCCTCCGGTCAGCACCTGCCCACTCCGGGACCAGAGGCCTCCTGAAGCCCAGCCCACCACTGCAGAGGAAGCACAGATGGGCAAGCGGCCCAGATCTCAGCAGGTACTATCGGGATGAGGCCATGAGAGAAGGGAGGAGGCCTGTGGATGAGGCCGGTAGCTGCTTTGCTCTGGTCAAGGGTTCGGGAAGATCATCACTTCTTTTCATACCCAGTGGCAGATGGGCTGGGCTGGAGAGGGAACCACTTGATGCTGGGGCTCAGTCTTCCAGAAGGGAGGGAGGCCAGTGGAAGGGGCCCAAGAGTGACCCTCCACCATGACTGTGCTCAGGAGAACCCAGAGAGCCAGACTCAGAAGAGGCCTCGCTCCTCAGCCAAGCCCTCCATCTCAGCTGAGGCCAAGAGCAGCGTCTCGACTGGTGATGAGGACACCTTGAACTCCATGGCCCAAGACCCTCACCAGCCCTCAGCTCCTGGTATCTCCCTGAAGGAGGCTGCAAGTGTCGTTGTCAAGTGTCTGACCCCTTTCTACAAAGAGGGCAAGTTTGCATCTAAGGTAGGGTGAGCAGGTGGGCTGTGCCCTCCCCCACACCTGAAGGACTTGGGTGCACTGGGGGTTGGGAGCACACAATGGGAACCTCAGAACAAAGCAGGACAGAAGCAGGCCAGGCCTGAGGCAAGGCCAATTCCTGCCCTCCCTAGGGCCTGCCCTGCCCTTGGGTCATGGCTGTGGGCCAGGGGTCAGGGTGGGGTTCTGCCCTCTGCCCTCTGCTTCTTTTCTCCCTCTGCCTCGCAGGAATTGTTTAAAGGCTTTGCCCGCCACCTCTCACACTTGTTGACCCGGAAGACTTCTCCTGGAAGGAGTGGTGAGTGCCTGTGTTGCCAGGGCCAGGAGACAATTGAGGGGTGGTCTGCGAGGGAGGGCACTGACCTTCACTTCCTCATGTCCCTTCGATGCAGTAAAAGAAGAGGTCCAGGACCTCATCAAGCACTTTTTCCATGGCCGGGCCCGGTGTGAGAGTGAAGCTGACTGGCACAGCCTGTGTGGCCCACAGAGATGACCAACTGCTGGCTGGGCAGGACTCATGTCCTCCCCCAGACTCCACCGTGGGCCAGCCTGGGACTCGCCTGCTGATGCCACAGACACTGTTTTTTCTCAGGGTCCTTCCCCCTTCCAACCACGCCTTGCTTTGGGGATGGCCCCAGACATCTCCCAAGCCAAGGCTAGAGGTCAAGAGATCAGCCCACCTTTCTTTCTGCTTGCAAAGGACCTTCCTCAGAACATCCCAGTTTCTCCTAGCCCTTGTGGCTGGGTTTTCTGGGCCAGATGCCCAGGATAGGAGGTGGCGGGTGGTGTGGCTGCTGCCAGGAGACGGGGAGGAGGAGTGGCCCTCTACCTCTTGTACTTAACAAGTTTTAAGCCAGAGGCAAAGCCCACCTGAACAAGGTATTGGGGTCTACTCAGGGGAGCCCTTGCCAGCCTCAGGTCCCCCTGGCATTCCCCGCTTCCTTTGAGAGATACCAGCTTCCTATCTTGCCCTAGGCACCAAGCTTGTGGGCAGTGGGGCGGCAGTTCAGCTCCTGGTCAGGAAGGCCAGGCCCAACTGAGATGTTTACGAGAGGAATAAAGTCCTGTTTGTTCTGACGCATGAACATGCAAACACAGCCCTTTTCTCTTGGGAGTTTTATTTCCTCAGCAGCTGCTGCTCCCAGGCCTAGGCTTGGCCTAACGTGGAGCCTGGTGCCGAGTGGGCATCTCCCCCAGACTGGGCAATATTAGATACCCAAGCTGAGTTCCTGCAGCCCCACCTCGCACCTGGGCCCACCCTGGAGAGTCTGGCAGTTTTCTTTCCCAGTTGATGACACTCGACAGCCTATGCCTCCTGGCCTGCACTTGGGCCAGCTGTGCTGTACTGTGGAGGGTTTCAGAACAGCCTGGCAGTAAAGTCTAGTCCAGCATGACAGAACAAAGTAGGGAAGGAGCTGGCTAGGTGCAAGGCCAAGACCAGCTCCTGCCCTCCCTGAGGCTTGCCTTGCCCTTGGGTCGTGGATGCACTTGGACCTAGGATATACAGCTGGGTCAGTTTGACCCATGACCATTGGCCACCTGGTACACGGCTAGGCAGACAGCAGGTGTCAAATGTCGGAACCAGCACCCTACTGTGGGAGTAGGGATAGCATCCAAGGCAGACCGTCTGGGTGAGACTCGAGCAGGGAGAAGCTGCCTTCTCGCCCGCCCTCCTGGAGTCCTCTCAGTAGAGGCCAGGCCACTCGGTGCAAGAGTTGCTGCTGTCCAGCAGGAAGATGATGGTGTGGAGCAGCTCCTGGGCCTGCGGGAAAGGCGTGCTAGGACAGGCTCCCCTGGCCAGCCCCGCCCCTGCCCGCAGCCCTCCTGAGCAGGGGGCTTCAGCCCGGGCCCAGGCTCCTGCTGCATGCCAGGGCCGGGCAAGGCACTCACATCCGCCTTCTCAGTGTACCAGAGGCCTGGCCATTTACCTGCGGCAGCTCAAACCAGATGGTCTGGGGGCTGTCGGCCGAGCCATAGTTGAGTTCCAGGCCAGGGGGTCCGTCTGCCTCTAGTGGGCTTAGCAGGTGCAGCCGCTGCAGGGCCTTCAGGGTGATGCTGCAGCACAGTTTCTGGAGGGTGGGTACAGCAGAAACAGCAGGGTTTGGCTCCTTGGGGGGCATCAATGTGGGTGGTGGGAGAGGAACGGCCTGAGGGTCACCAGGCCTGCACTGGGACAGGAGCTTTGCCCACCTGGGAGCTGGGGTCCATGAGGATGAGGTGCTGGCAGTTGAGCCCCAGGAGGGCAGGTCCAGGCAGGGCCAGGTTGCTCACACGCAGCACCACGTAGACGGTGTAGCCATAGAGGGGCAGCTGACTCATGGCCTCTGGGGGTGGAGAGGGCCAGGGCAGGAGTTCTGACTGCCAGGCCCTGGTACTTGCCCTGCTCGGCCCCCCGGGTCAGGTGAGAGGAGCAGGGCAGATGGAGACACCTCCGCAGCCCCTCCACCCATACCTCTTCCCTCCTGATCCTCCAGTCTCCACCCCAGCAGCCCCCTTCCCCGGACCCACCGATGAAACTGATCTGGGCTTTCTGGGAGCTGTGTCCTTGCAGCTGCCTCAGCTCCTGGCCCATCAAGCTCTTTATGGTGGCCACATTCACCTGCCGGTGCAACGGCTTTGGGATGTAAGCCAGCAGGTCCTGCCTAGGATGCATGGCTGGGGTCAGTTCTGACCACCTGGTGCAGGGCTGAGCATACAGCAGGTGCCAAATAACTAACCAACGCCTGTTGTGAATAAGGTTAGGGATCCATACACGTGAATGAGGTAGAGGCCCTGCCCCGGAGGATCTTGGGGTGAGGGCAGGGGACAGGCGTCCACAGCCTCTGCTGCTCCAGGCCGATCTGATGAGGGCCAGGAAGGGGGCCTAGACCTCAGAAGAGGGAATGGGGGACCAGAGGTAGGACAGAAGGGATGATGGCAAGACCTGGGAGGCTGAGCTCCCCACTCACTCTGAGGGGGAGTCCTTGTTAGCCCCACTGAGGTGCTGCAGGGCAGCCAGCCTGGCGAGCTGGGCATCTGCCTGGGCGCTGACCAGCAGTTTCCCCTGAAGGTAGTCCCGCAGCACCTGAGAGGGCAGATCGTGAGAGGCCAGCTATGGCCCAGGACCCCCATTCCAAGCCCATTCCGGCCACCATCCTCTTCCAGCCACCACATCCTTGTGGGAAGGGGGCTTGGAGGTTGCCCAGGCAGGGGAGCCAACCTGGCTGTAGTGGGCACTGATGTAGTTGGGGTTCTCAAAATGCAGCGCGGTCTCCCAACCGAGCCGCCGGCTGTGCAGGCTCACGTCCTGGTCCACCACCACGCTGTTGAGGTACTCGCAGGGCCGCAGGGGCCGCACCAGCTGGCCTGCACAGGGAGGCCAGCTTTGCCCGAAGCCCTGCTGCTGCTTAGACCACACCCTGCCCTGCTGCCCCAGCAGAAACCAAAACCTCCTCACCCCTGAGCAGGAGAGATCCTGCAGGTGAGTTCCCTCCCCAGCTCACCCTCCCCTTTGATGAGGAAGAGGGCAAATTCCTGCACTTCCTGGGGCTCCGTGATGCCCATCTCCCGGCACAGCTCCTCCAGCACTTCCGCTGCCACCTGAGCATGCAGACAGGGCCACGATGAGGGGGAAGGAGGCCAGTGAGGCCCAGAACGGAGGCCCGTGCCCTCTCTCCCTGGTGGCCCCTGTGCTCACCGTGAAGGTCCGGATATTTGTTCTGTAATCCACACCCCCAGGCAGGTGAATGAGAAGCAAGCGGGCTGCCTGCCCTTTCTGCCAAGGCAGGAGGCAGGGTCAGTCCCCCGGCAGGCAGACGTCCCTGCTCCCCGCTCCCCTGTGGACACCGCCCCAGCCCCGGGGAGTCCCAGGACACCCAGTACCAGGAAGGCCTGCATTTCACCCGGTGGGGGCAGCCGCCGGCGACCCCCGTATTTGACCGTGCACTGGAGGTGCTCCTGGCTGCTCCGGGCCAGCTCTGCGGAGGAGCCAGGCTGGGGTCATGGGTATGTCCAAGCCCCTCCCTACCCAGCCAGCTTCCCAGTCTTCCTCCCCCGGGCACCTTGGCTGGGGCCTGAATCCTGAAAGAACTTGGTCACGTAGGGCATCAGCGTGGTCGATGGGGGAAAGAAGCCTGTGAGGAGGCTGAGGATGCTCCAGCCTCGAGCACAGCGTTCCCTGTGGGGCAGAGAGCCTGGGCTTCAGGCAGGCCAGGCCGCAGCACTGGCTGCTCCCAGGAGCCGTGCCACCCCGCCAGCCTCCACTCACGGCCGGGGATGTCCCGTGACCTGCTTGATGACCTGGCAGTAAATCTCATCCCTGAGTTGCTCCTCCCGGCACAGCTGTGGGAACAGCAAGGGCAGGTGGGCAGGACAGGGGCTGGGCTGAGGTGGCATGAGGGCATGGGGTCTGGAGCCCTGGAGAAGTCCTGCTAACAGCCCTGGGCTGGGCTTGGGTCAGGGTCACATCCTCACCGTCCCCTCTGGGTATCACTTAGCTTAATCGCACCTGCACGACTGATCATGTTCTTTCTACTACTTTCTTCCCTGCTGCTGTCTTCAGAGAGACTTTGGGGCTCCACTTTATCTTTGACCTCTAAGCATGGCAATGCCCTTGAGCCTGTCAGTCTGCCCTCTCCCTGATGGGCTCAGCCGTCCCTGTCTCCTGACTCCTTGGTATCTCTCTCTAGCCCAGACTTCTCCTTTGAACCCCAGGCCCCTCCACTTGGGAAGTCTGGGATTTCAGACCTCACACGTCCAAAACAGATTCCTCTGCCAGCCCAGACCTGCTCCTTGTTGGAGAGTCATCACCCTGGCCTCACAGCCCATGTGCAGCTGGTCAGCAGCCCCTGCTGGCTCCGAATCTTCCTGTTTCTCCCTTTGCGCTGGCCCTGAGCCCAGGCCAGCACCCTCTCACCTGGGACCACTGCAACAACCTCCTCTTGCCCTTCAGTCCCCAGAATCTCAACAGCCGGAGTGACCCTGCAAAGTGTAAGCTGAGTCTCTTCAAAACCCTCCAGTGGTTCCCCATCTCTCTAGAAAAATCAAAGACCTACAGAGACTCCATGGCCCACTGTGACTTGGAGCCACTCTCCCCCTCACTTGCCCTCTGGCCTTGCTGCTGTGTGATGGCTCAGCCTCTTGTCTGGACTGTCCCCCTGCCCTTCTCTCTGTTGCCCTGTGCTCATGGCTCACTCCTTGGCTCCTGCAGGTCTCCCCAGGCGACGCCTTCTCCGCCATATCCCTGCTGCTTTCTGACTCTCCATGGCACCTTTCACACCCGGACACGTTACATCCTTGTGGGCTGACTGTCTCATTGTAGGCCCTGCAGGGACTTAGCCTGTTGGCTTCACCACCATGCCCCTGCATGCAGTAGGTACTCGGGAAATACGTGGGATGGTTTGAAGGAACAGTGACCAAGGGAGGGGGCTCTCATTCAGGTCCGGGCTGGAGGAGCACTTGAGGCTTGTGGCCTCTGACCTGGCTTGCAGCACCCAGCCCTGGCTCACCTTCAACAGCTCGTAGAGCAGATCCAGCTCATCCTTGCCCCGGGGCTTGGACCGGTCACCCATAAATTGCATCAGGGCTGCAGGCAAGGTAAGAAGCATGATAGGTTGGGCTGGGGCTGGTCCTGGCGCAAGCTGTCCCTAGGCAGGGCCTTGCCTGCCATCTGATGCCTCACGCCAAAACGCATAGTAGCTGCTGGCTGCAGCTTGACCCACGAGAAAACAAAGGTTAGAGAGATTCCGTGGGTGCCCAAGGCCACACAGTGCATAGTGTGGGCTGGACCCATCTATTGTCTTCTGCCCCAGACTCAGCACACCCCACTCCTTGGGCTGGGGTAGAAGTGGGTGAGGGCCCTGATGATACAGGAGCCAGGGGTGAGCCTCCCTGAATTGGCAGACTGGGGCAGAGCTCAAGGAGAGAAGGGACCAGGTGCCTAGGTCCATGGCACTGCAGACATAGGGACCCGAGACATCCATGGCCACTTACCCTGGAAGCTTGCCACAGCCTGCTTGCTGGTGTCCTCATCCCTGAGGATGATGAGGGACTCCTGGATGGGAGCCTGTGGCCAAAGTGGTGGGACCATGGGTCTGGGGTCTGCAGGGGTCAGAGGGCAGATCTACCAACCAGACCCTTCCCGGTGCCTCACCTTGGTGTACTGCACCAGGCTGTCTATGACCTTCCCCTCAGCACCTCCACCTGTTGGGGCCGGCCTGTGGGGGACAGGAGAATAGCCCTTGTGCCCACTGTATGGGGAGGGTGCCAAGAGCACTGGCCCGGTGGCTCTCAGCAGGGCTCTTGCTTTGGGAAGGCTGAGGGCGGACAGGCACAGGGGTTGTCTCAAGCCACTCACGAGGTCCGAGGCTTCCGGAAGTAGCGCAGGGCAAATTCCTGCATGGTGTAGTTGTGGGACTCAATGGACAGAGAGGCGTAGGCCACCGAGGAGGGCAGGCTGGTGGCCTCTGAGTCATCACTGTATACCTGACTCCGGGGGCGGGCAGGGTACTGGGAGCACAGGAAATCCAGTGCCACCCTTGTTGCCCACTGGTCTGTCCCAGAGGCCCTGCCTCAGCCCCATTCCCACCCCAGCCAGACCCGAGGAGTGACACCAGAAGCCAGGGAAGTCAAGAGCTGTTTATTGCGCGTCTTCTAGGGTGGCATTGAACTAAGTACTGCATGGGATACTAGAGCAGCGAGCAGCCCAGCCCCTGCAGGAGCTCACAGTCTTGCTGGGGAGACAAGGCAAGCGATCTGCATAGGGCAGAGAGGGTAGCACCAGACAAACACTTCCCACCAGGCCACAGGAGGTGGGCAGCAGAGGGGTGCTGGCACCCCATAGCCTCGGGCAGGCACACCCCTTCCTTCCTCGACTCCTAGGCAGGCCTCGCCTCTGCCTCTCCCGTCTTCCTCACCTCCGAGGCCCTGTCCCACCGCGCCAGCCCTGGCTCCCCCAGAGACAGCTGACTCTTGCGCCGGCTGCTCCTCTGCTCCGGCAGGAAGGAAAAGTCGGGAGCAGCAGCCGGCTGCACGATGTTGGCAGGAAAGAGTCCAGAACGGCCCCCGACAGAGCCAAACTGCCAGCCTAGAAGGCATCCGGGGACAGTGGCTCACCCTTCTGGCCCCTCTGCCCCCCACAGGCTCTGCCAAGCAGTGCCCTCCCTGTGCCAGCTGCCTACTGGTCCCTGGTGATACCTTGCTCCAGACTGGTCACTGGCAACAGCTTGATGAGGTCCCCGCGGTGGAAGTTGAGGAGGCTGCAGTCATCAGTGATGTAGCTGCGCAGGGCGATGACATAGCCAGAGTCCTAGGGGCAGCTGGGTGAGCGACCGGGAGCCCCAAGCTTGCCTGTGCCTCCCTGTCATGCCCACTCCTGCCCAGACTGCCAAAATTTCAAAGACCGGGCTCAAACTCCCAGCGCCACCCCCGGGAAACCAGACAGGGCAAGATGCAGCATTGGTGGAGGCTCCCGCCTGGCCCCTGGGCCACACTTGCCTGCTTGAGCTCGTTCAGGAACAGCTCCACCATGGCCTTGATGGCCCTGGCCCTGGCCGTGCGCAGCACCAGCTGCTCAGTCTTCAGTGACAGCTCCAGGGTGGAGTCGCCCCGGCACTCCATGCCCAGCACCTCTGCAAAGCTGTGCACGGGCAGGGCATGAGCGGAGGCCATCGCGCCCCCCACCTCCCGCCTAGGCTGTGGGCCTGCCCACCTGTATGAACAGAGCGTCTTCAGCTGGTCGGGGTGGAAGCCGGGGCCCTGGGTCATCTTGAGCAGCCGCAGCCCCCGGTGGGACACACCTAGGAGCTGCACATCACTGCCACTCTCGCCCTGCCAGGAAGGTAGCAGGTCACTGGCAGGCTCCTAAGCCCCGCTGCTGCCCAAGATGCCCTGGAGCTTCTCAGGGCCAATGGCCAGGCTTTGTCCTTCTGCCCCACCCCCCAGCTCCTCTCCTATCCACAGAGAACCCGTGCACCCCAGGACCCAGACCCGCTGGGGACCTGGCATCCCCGTTCCCGACCCCAGCACCACTGACCGAGGCAGGAAAGATGCGGGAGAAGTAATTGGCCCAGTTGTCCCTGGCGGCCACCACGATGCGCTTCTTGACGCTGTCTTCAGCAGTGGCGAGGGAGTCCAGCCCCACTTCCAAGTCTCCTTCAGACGGGAAGGGCCCAGCTGTCCCCAGGGCCCTCTCCTCACAGAGGGCAGGCCCCAGGTCCACTCCCACGGCCCCTTCCTCCCTCAAGGCAGGCCTAGCCCTCCCTCTCCAAGTGCCCTGAGTGCACACCCAGCAGGTCTTTCATTCTGCGTCGCTCATCCTGGGAGATGCGGATGCAGGACTCGGCAAAGGTGTCCCGCAGGACCTGGGGGCAGAGGCAGGTGGTCACCACCAGGCCTGGAGGCCAGAGCCCACCAGGGGAGCAGCTGTCGACGGGTGAGGAGGAAAAGCTTGAGAGCCAGTAGAGGCCGCTTCATCCCTGGGCTTGTCTGTCTCAACAGGGCCAACTGGGGGCCTAGGTGGGGACATGGAGGGGTGGAGGCTCCCAAGTCCAGAGCCACGTCCACCCACCCGTCTCACCTGTCCCTCCCTCCCCCCTTCACCTCACTGCCCAGAGACCCCACGAAGACGGTCCTTGGGTCAGCCGAGATACATTTCCCTGAAGGAACAAGATTTGGTGGGGGAGGGGAGAAAGGAAGGCTACTTCAGAATTGGGGGAAACAGAGGCACACCCCTGGGACCATCCAGAGGTGGCAAAGTGACAACCATTTATTATCGACTGTGTGTTACAGCCTGTGGTGTGTACTGTATATACTTTGCTTTTCATCCTCATCCGTAAAGCTAGGTTGACAATGGCGCCTACTTCACAGGGCTGTTGTGAAGATGAATAAGTGAAGACTGGGCAGGGCATACAGAAAGTGCCCCGTAGGTGCTGGCTGCCATCATGCCCCACGCTGGTGTGAACTTGGCCCAGGCGTTCGGCAAAGGGCAGCAGGAATGCAGTCTGCCTGCCAATGTCGCAGGCGGGCAGGTGGTCCAGGCTCTTACCTGCTCACAAAGGAGCTGGAGGCAGTAGGGATGGCTGAAGTTCTCCCGCGGGTAGAACACCTGGAGGAGGGTGCAGAAGAGATGAGACCAGGGGGTCTGGTGCTCCTGCCCAGCCCGCCTCTGCCTCCCAAGCCTGCAAAACCAGCCTTAGAGAGGCGGGCTGTGGGGAGGGGATGCTGAGGTCCCACCGCCTCTCAGCCAGCCCGCAGAGGCCAGGCTGAGGCCCGATCCTCATGCCCACCTCCTTGCGCAGAAACAACTTCCAGGGCGTGCTGGCATAGGAGAAGCACACGCTGCCCGAGGGCACCAGCAGCTGAGTGGGGGGCCCCTGGTCCCTCATGGGCTCCACCAAGCCTGGAGGGGAGGGGTGAAGAGCCTCAGGCAAGGGCAGGAGAGAAGAGCCCCTCGTCCCCAGCAGCCCTCCACGGGCCTGGCTTTCTTGACCACCAGTTGCCTCGCTCCCGCCCACAGTGCCGTCTCCTGCCTCCATTTCCGGTCCTAAGCTTTCCCTGGTGTCCTTGAGGCTCATGGGCCCTCCATGGCCACGTCAGCTAGCACCACACGATTCTCCACAGTGCTGTTAGGGCTGCATCGCGGACAACACCCTGTGTGTGACAGTCCCAAGGTGCCAGGCCCTGCCCTGGGCAGGAATGCAGAAGTTGGGGCTGACTGAGGCTCCAAAGTCCAGAAGCTCTAGCAGCTGATCTCAGCCACGTGGAAATGCCTTCGGCCATAGGCACCTGGAGGCTGTGGGAACGCTGCCTCTGCCCCCCGTGACTCCCACCACGCAGGGGATGTGGGGCTCCTCACCGTGAGGCTCAGCCGGAAGGGTCTCTGGGTCCTCTGGCAGAGGCAGTGGGGGCACTGGTGGAGGTGGGGGTGCCTGGGGGGCGGGCGGGTTCTGGCCAAACAGATCCCGGAGGGGCCCCTGCTTTTCCTTGATGGAGCTGGAGGGCCCGAGCTGTAGCGGGGCCTTGGGTCGAGGAGCCACCACGGGTGGGGGGCCCTTTCCTAGGCCAGGGGACAGCGTCTGAGGGCACAGAGAGAAGGCATGCGAGCTGAGTCGATGGACGAAGCCACGTTTATCCCGAGAGCCTCGGACTCCCGAGTAGTGCAGCCCTCCCTGGAGGAGACAGGAGGGGCAGCTCACCGAAGGGGGCGAGTGGGCACCGTAGATCCCCAGCTTGGCCAGAGCCTCATCCTTAGGGTCGTTTTTCTTCTGGAAAGCTTTGGGAGTCCTCGTGGGAGAAGGAAGAGACCACCAGGTCCACAGGGTGATTCCCTGAGGAGCAGAGCAGCCCTGGCCACCTCCCCCGGGGGCCCACCTGGATGGCTGCACAGGCACAGGCACGGGGCCCGGGCGGCTCTGGTACATGCGGATGATGTTGCCAATTTCCCTGCTGGGCTTCTGCCGCGGGGGCGTGGGGTCCAAGCTGCGCACCACGGGCCCCCTGCCCTGGGCCGGCTCTTGGCCATGGCTGGGCCCTGCCTCCTTGGCTGGCTCGGCTGCAGCCTCTTTTGCAGCCTTGGCGCCACCTTGTTTCAACGGCTTCTTCACCACCGGGGCAAGAGGAGGAGGAGACAGCGCTGACCAGGAAAAGAGGGAAGACGTTAAACGCCGTACAGAGATGGGCAGGACCCCAGCCCTCCTGTCTGCTCTCCCCCCCACCCCCACCTGCTTCTGCTGCTTCTTCTTGCTCCTCCGGTGTCTCCTCCTGGGGCATCTGGACCATGGCTGGAGGCTTCACCGTCTTCACCATGATCTGCTGCTGCCCTGTAAGTGCCCGGATGGCAGCGCGGCCCCCCGCACTTGCCCAGCCGCCTCCCCCAGCTGGGCTTCTGGGTGGACCACGGACTTGGGAGAGCCGAGGGCCCCACCCCTCCCCGGACCAGGACGGGGCGCTAGCTGAGTTTCTGCGGGCCTGCCACCCCGAGCGCCCTCACCCATCTTCTGGAAATAGTTCCGTTTCTGCTGGAAGCTCTTCGGCCGCCGGGGCCTGTCGTCAGCCTCCTCCAAGGTCTCCTCCTGGTTGGAGGCAGAAGCGAGGAGCAGCCCGGCCCGCCACGTCGCCACACTCACACACCCTCTCAGGCCCCCGGGGCTGGGCCCAGGAGCCTCTTCTCTGCCTCTGCCAGCTCACCCCGCCTGTGTCCGCCACCCCAAGGCCCCGGCTGCCCCACCTTAGGCCCTGCCACCTGCCTGGCCTTGGCTCCTCACCTTCAGACAGGCACCCCTCGCTTCTAGCTCAGTCTCTGGCTCCTTCTGGGGGGCAGGGGGCTTGGTGGCCTTAGGAGTGATGACTGGAGGTGGGGCCTGGGATGCAGCCCCGGAGCCCCGAGCCTGGCGCTGCCACTGCTGGGTCTGCTGCTCCAGGGAGAGGGTCATGGCCTGAGTGGTCATCTGCTGGGCCTGAAGGGGGAAGGGCGGTGGGCCGGTTCAGAGCCAGGCCCAGCCCCACCCGCAGACCCCCCCCCAGGCAGCCCCTCCTGCCTGTCCTCACCAGAATCAGTGCCTGCTGGTTGATGAAGTTCTGCTGCTGGAGTGCCAGCTGCCTCGCATCCACGTTGGGAAGCAGGGGCTGTGGCGGTGGCTGCGGCTGCGGTGGCACCACCATGGCTGTGGGGCGGCGGGTGACCAGAGCGGTGAGCACAAGGCCATTCTCAAGGCCCGTGCCCACTGTGCACTCTGGGCTCCCAGCAGGCCCCTTCCTCCTCTAGTCCCAGGACTGGTGGTTGCTCTTCTGGTCCCCGGCCCGGCCTCACCTGGCATGGCGGGGACTGCGCCCATGGCTGGCATCATGGGCATGGGTGCAGGCATCATGGCTGGCTGGTATCCGGGCATCTGCATCATTCCTGGGTACACTAGGGGAACAGGGCATTCCTGGGTCAGTTCTGCCCTGGACCCGTTTCCCAGAGAAGAGCATCGGCCACTGGGGTACAGACCAGAGCACCAATCCCAGCTGCCGGAGTGGTTCCAGGCCACGCCTGCCCCCATTGCCCACGCTGGCTTCTGGATGCGAAGTCGCCCCACACTCACCCATGGGGTAGCCTTGCTGCGTGGGCCCAACGGCACCCCCTCCCTTCATGCGGTCACTCAAAGTCCAGCCTTGCTCCAGATCCTGAAGGGACAGTGGTCCCAGAGTCAGAGCTGGGGCCCTGGGAGAAATTCGAGGGGCAGCAGAGGCCCTGGAGGGGTGGGGGCAGGGGTAGAGGCCGGGGTGTGCAGGACACTCACGCTGAGGCCTGGGGAGAGGACTGGCTGGAAGAGGTGGTCCAGAAAGCCATCCAGGCTCCCTGGCGCCCGGGTCTCCCCTGTGGGATGAGGAGAGGGTTGGTGCCGTCCATCTGGGGCATGGGCTTCCCACACTCTGCCAACTTCAGTGTGCCTACTCCAGCCTTACCTGTGTGGCCCCTGGTGGGCAGTGCTGGGGCTGGACCTGGAGGGGGTCCTGGAGGCAAGGAGGGGGCCTGGACGCCAGGGGCAGGGGGGATGGCCTCAGCTCTGCAGGAAATAGAGTCTATTTAAGGGGGCTGCAGAGGCTGGCGGGCACCTAGGTGGAGGCAACAGGTAGAACCTGCTATGAGGATTACCCCATGGGTGGGAGAAGGCTTGGGTGGGAGGACTGGGCCTGCCATAGCTCCCATGAGCCACTGGGCGTGGCAGGGTGGCTGTGGGGTCACCAGCAGGGGCGTGCCCAGGACAGGGGTGCTCGGGCAGCACCTACAAGCCGAGAGGGGCGATGGGGTAGCTGCGGGGACTGGCTGGGTCCCCCAGATCCTCAGTCTGGCCGACGAGGTCCAGCACAAAGTCGCAACCGGCCAAGTCCTGCCACGAGTCCTCGGAGTGCAGGGATACAGACCAGCCACGCGGGGGCGCCTCCAGGCCTCTGGGGAGGAGCAGGGGGTGTGTCAGCGAGGCAGACGACCATCCTGAGGGGGCCAGGACCACAGGGCAGGCCAAGGGGAGGGGACTGGAGAAGGGAGGATGGCTGTGGAACCACCTGGACCCCCGTCTGCTGAACGCTGGGCAGCTCTCCTCTGTTGGCAGTTCACAGCCCCCCTATTTACGCCGGCTCTAAGGCGCACATTGACGTATTGACCTACCGGGTTAGAATCTGGGCCATGGGTGCTCCCACCCGCCCCTCACCCGCCCCCCACCCCCGTTATAATCTCTGCTCTTTGCTCCCCATCTTGAATCTACAACCTGGACTCCGCCCATTGTCTCTCACACCTCGGGGCACACCCCCACCCCCGGCTCTCGGTGGGAGAGTGGGCTGGGGGGCGAGGAAGATGCAGGAGGGGGTGGGACAATGGTCAACTCTGGTCGTGCTGTCCCCTCCTCCCAGACCCCCCTTACTTGCTCTGCAGGATCCATCCGGCCAATTGCTCCCCTGTGGTCCAGGACTCTACCTCAGCCGAGTAGCACTCCTCTGCAGGGGTGAGGCATGGGGACAAGAGTGAGGGACGGCAGGGTCTGCCCTGATGGGAAAGGGCCGCTGTCTCCAGGGGGGTTTCACAAATCCAGGACACCGGGGAGATCAGAGTCACCACGCAGAGGCGGCAGGAAGGATGAGAGGCAGCCCTCACCGCTGAAGGTGAACACGTCCAGCGCCATGCGGCCCCGCCGCCAGCCAGCCATCCACTCGAGCTGGGTGGGCGGGTG